TTTCTTGACAATTAAAGTCGCCATTTTGTTTTGCACAACAAAATACTGCTGACACGTGAATCCACGTTCTAAATTTAAATATTTTCATTCTAATTTTTTAAGGAACATCTTATCCGCTCATTGTTACGTTTGGTAACTATTAAAACAACTGTTTTAGTGGAGTTAAATCTATTTGTTACAATAAAAAAATGCGTATCCATTACCAAATAGAGCAAGGTAATGCGATTCCAACCCTCTGGCTGCTGTTTATCGACGTCGATAATCCTGGTTTATTGCTCAATAATGGACCGCGTGAGCACTTCAAAGTGCATGGGGTGAAATGGCAGTGAATTACAACCATCTATGTAACGCATTTTGATTGACTCACCATTGTTATGTTTATTCTTATAACAATTTACTCTGATTTAGTATATTTTTTTTATTGTTATATCGCGATTAGTGTTATTTTTATTTGTTATTTTATTTAGTGTTTAGTTGTTAATCAAACTAGCCTTCGAGTACTTTTTTTATGCAACTTAGAATAGCAAACAAGCTGACGGCCCATCTGATAGAAAGTGGTAACCGTCGCCTATAGACATGAGCAATACCACGGATATAACAGAGTAAGTATACTGTTTCGCCCATGATACCCCAATGCGTTGCCATTACTGAGGACTTAGGTGTTATTCCTCTGTACCCAGTAAATTCACTGCTATATCCCACCGTTCAAACCGAAACACAGCCATGCAAACACAACTGCTTCACGGTAGAAACCCGAATGGGACAGAGGTACCCAAGCAAACGACTTTTATACAAAGTCTCCCTCTGGTAACTACTTACATATGTTTGAATATTTGTTGACAAAATCATGCTTAACTGTCTAAATGGATTTGAATTAAATTTAATATATAAATAAACCATATTCTGAATTAATACATATAGTATTTTACAATTTATACACTAACCAGCTTTTACCCTCGACCTCGCCCTCATGACCGGGATACATTCACTGACAGAGATAAAAAAAAATCGGTCGACAACATCAAAAATTACCCAATATTTGTGCACTCAAAAATGAGTGTTGCCATCAAATATACGTCCAATTAAGGTGTTGCCAGATAAGATAAAACACCCCGTTATTGTGTTATGGTTAATATTGGTTTGTTAACGGAACTAGCTTATCATATCAGCTACCGATTCACCGCTTATTAATTTCATTATCTGACAGGGAAATCACGTGTTTTTTTGTTTTGTTTTGACGGTTTTTAGCTTTATGCCTGTCAGTAATTAGAACAGACAGAGACAAGATTATATTTAATCATATTGTTGAAACATGGTCCTACATGATTGCCCGTATTTTAAAGCTCCACATTACTCAGTGAGCTCTGGAGAGGGCTATGCTCGGAATTTCTTTGCGTGATAGAATCCAAAACGAGGATAGATAGATAGATAGATAATTTATTTTCATTACTTACAGCACACAAATTACAACATATAAAAAGCGAGTTAACATAAAATATTAAAAAAAAAAAGTACATAATAATATATACATATAAAAATACTGTGCGTGTGCCATAACAATACAAAATGGTCACAACTCTATTATTTGTTTCCTCATAACTTCGACAATCGGGGGGAAAGGGATTGTTAGTAATTGGGTTAAATAGCTCCATTAATAGCAATATACCCTGTCAGGTCGACCTCCACGTGGTTCTCCCGGGAAACCGTTGTGGTTAATTCTAGTTGAATTCTTCAGGATGTTCTAACTGACCTGCTTTCATCCTCACCTATCATCCCTCACTAGTGCCCCGCCAACGTATCCCGATAGCGCAGAGTTACTATATTATTATTACCCAATAAAAAAAAAAACTTACAGTTATAAATTAATTTAGGAAATTCTTTTTTCACAAAAATAAAACAACTTCAATTGGGACAAAACTAGTTATTTTGTTCTAAAAACTAAACTACTCAACCGATTTTGATATAATTTCTATGAGACCAACTAGTAAGTACTTTCTTTCAGATAAAAAACCAATTTTTCAAGTCGGTTTATAACTAACATAGTTATGAGGTAACAAACACAAGAAAAAAATACAACCGAATTGGGAACCTCCTTCTTTTAAAAGTCGGTTAAAAATTTACAATATAAGTTAACCTGAAATATTAACACTTTGATGTGTCTTGAGTTATTAAAAATTTTCTTATTATAGTTAAAATACTCGTTTTAATTTATTTTCCTATCTATCTACCCGTACGAAGCCGGGGCGGATCGCTAGTATTCCATATTTATAATACAAATATTAATAACATACATATTTCATCACTAATCGAAAAATCATGTAACCAATCAAAATGGCGATACAAAATCACGTGTGAGTAAAAGAGCGTATGTCGGAAAATGAGAGAATTCCTCAAATATAGTTTTGTATAACGCTTATTGTATGGTGAATAGCAATAATTCAATGGATGGGAGTCGGGGATGTCCGGTGCGCCGGGAGCACGTGTCCCGACTTCCGGTGACGCCATCTTTATACTCATCCCCCTTTTCCCCCAGTTTCCGGTGAACGCTCTTGGTTCCGTCACGCAACCCCTTGCTTGGGAGCCATAAAGTGAGAGCTTTATAAGAATAGTGACTTATTTTTACTTGTATTACGACGTGGATAATAATTGCTTTCTTTTTGCTTTGCTCCGTGGTCCCGGCATAGAATAGGTCACCCCTTACATTCTCATGGTGTCGTAAGTGGTGACTACGGGAGGGCAAAGGATGGGCACCAGCGTCCATCTTAAAACATCTCTAACGCCTGACTGCGGTTACCAATCCGCCTGCCAAGCGGGTTTTGTCTGTAGTGCCAACTATAGGCAAAACCCGCTAAGGGGCAGGCTTATGTTCATCAATCGACAATTAAAGGCTGATAGGATGGTGATGATGATGAACATGTCTTGTATTATATTCCCTCACATGAATAATTTAAGATTTTTTCTTAAAAGCCGACTTCATCTATGGTAAAACTAGTTTTTTTAATTTGAAACCTAAACCACTAAAATGATTTAGTTCTAAATTCTATGGAACCAATCAGAAATTATACCTTTTCAGACAAAAATAAAGAAGTTTCCATATTGGTTTACAACTGACGGAGTTATGAGGTAACAAATATACAAAAAAAACAATACAACCGAATCGAGAGAACTTCTTCCTTTATTAAAGTCGATTGGAAAAGAAAGAGATTGTATATATTTATATACATATAATTACATGTATTATTATTCAAATTAATTCTCGTAAAACTCTGTATAAATGCCACTATCTACCGATGCAAAGCGTAGATGTGTCGTTAGTAAATAAATCGCTCGACGTATGGCCATACAACCTATTCTCCTATCCATTCAATCAATCGAACAAAACTATACCTTAATATAACAATAAAGGGGTTCGTATTGCAATAACTTTTACTTAAACTTCATCCCAAGTTACCATAAAAGGCAAATATCTTGGTAAAAACGTTTTACGACGTTCTATAACGTCTTTCGCTTATGTATGTTAGTTTAGCATTTATTTACGTCATAATAGTTTATATAGAGAAGTTTCTATATATTTTTCTATATATCTATAAGTTTCTATAAGTATATATATATTTTATGCACCTTAGAATGGCAAACAAGCTGACGGCCCACCTGATGGGAAAGTGGTAACCGTCGCCTATAGACATGAGCAGTATCATGGACATAAGTATACTGTTTCGCCCATGATACCCCCCATGCATTGCCATTCCTGAGGACTCAGATGTTGTTCCTCTGTACCCTGTAAATTCACTGCCATATCCCACCCTTCAAACCGAAACACAGCCATGCAAACACAACTGCTTCACGGTAGAAACATGAATGGGACAGAGGTGGCCAAGCAAACGACTTTTGTACAAAGTCTCCCTCTGATAAATATATATTTTATACCATTATGGTGACAAACAAGCATACGGCCCGTCTGATGGCTAATAAGGTTACCGTAGCTGTAACATAAAGGATGTCACGTGCGCGTTACCGACCTTTGAGATACCTTAATACGCCCTTTTTTAAGTACCTCATACTGTAGTCTCCAGGGAAAGCCCCGGCAGGAAGATCAGTCCACAACCTAAGTGTCCTATGAAACTGCACTGTGCCGGGGGGAAAGGGATTGTTAGTAATGGTGACTGAGAATCTCCATTGCTAGCAATGTACCCAACCAGGTCGACCTCCTCGCGGTTCCCCCTGGAAACTATCATGGTTAATTCCTTAATGAATTCATCATGATGGGCTAACCGGCCTGTTTTCATTCTCATTTATCACCCTTCACTGGTGCTCCGCCAGCGTATCCCATTAGCGCAGGCGGAGTTACCATACCATTTTCATCCATAAAAAAAAACTGCACTGTGCCTGACCATTCTGGTTCTAAGATGTGAGGATGGACTCCCTGCCGATGACGAGCGGTGCGATGGTGAAAGCTGATTGTAGGCACCATATCGAAGAGCTTTTCATATATCTTATATATAAATATCACGTGTCATATTGTTTGTAGTTGAACTCCATCGAAACGGCTCGACCGATTTTTATGAATATTTTTATATATATTTGGTAGGTATGAGAGCAGGTCGTAAACTTAGATTATATAGATAGAGCATTGGGCCTCAAAAACAGGTCAACTTTTTATCAGCTAATTGTCAAATTAGCTGACTCGTTTTTTTATTAGTGTTCTACATACTTACGCACACAACGTATCTTGACGTATGTATATTTAATTATTTAATAAATAAAATTAGTGTTTATACATTAAAAAGGTGCAAAATTTATAAGACAAAATAAATATAGAAGTTATAAAGGAATCACTCATAACTATTTTTCACGCAAAATCGTATGAAAAAGTTGAGCCGCCTTTTTCGGAGCATTTGTATGGAGACACTCTATGTATATAATCTAAGGTCGTAAAGTATATTTCATACAGCTGAATGGTAAGGCTATCCTTATCCAGACGAAAAAGGAAGCATACTTACCTATTGATACTTGAGACCGAAGGCACGTTGTCCTGACTGCAAATCCCCTCGCTCAGCAGCCGGTCCCGGATCTCCCAGGCGAACATCGTCGGGTTTTCCCTCTTGTATGCGGCGATTGCGTCGACCACAGGCGGAGTGGCGACCTTGGGCTTGGAGCCACCAATCACCCCCGCCTTGAAACTCCCAGTTTCGTAGTACCTGAAAGAAGGAAGGAGATTAGATCACATTTTCAGTCAAAACGTTTACCCGTGTGCCCGAAATATGGGGTCAGGATACGTTTTTTTTTATACTACTTAGAATGGTAAACAAGCTGACAGCCCACCTGATGGAAAGTGGTAACCGTCGCCTATAGACATGAGCAGTACTATGGACATAACAGAGTATACTGTTTCGCCCATGATACCCGCCATGCGTTGCCATTCCTGAGGACTTAGGTGTTATTCCTCTGTACCCTGTAAATTCACGCCATATCCTACCCTTCAAACCGAAACACAGCCATGCAAACACAACTACTTCACGGTTGAAACACAAATGGGACAGACGTACCCAAGCAATCGACTTTTGTACAAAGTCTCCCTCTGGTAGAGTGAATGAAAAAGGAACATAAATTAAAACAATAGAGAATAGAAGAGGTAAAATGCTGGGCCACCTTATACGACATGACAATTTTTTAAGAGCATAATAGAAGGAAAAATAGAAGGCAAAAATGAAGGGGAAGACCGAGGAATAACTACATGGGACAGATAAAACACTAGGTGTCATGTCGTATAGGGAAGTCAAGGATATGGCCTGGGATAGAGCTGGCTGGAAGAAGATGCATGAATTAGTTGCACCGACATGTGGAAACTCTTAAATGAAAAGAAGACGTTACAGAGTATACTCCTTCGCCCATTATATTCCCCATGCGTTGCCATTCCTGAGGACTCAGGTATTATTCCTCTGTACCCAGTAAATTCACGCCATATTCCACCCTTTAAACCGAAACACAGCCATGCGAACACAACTGCTTTACGGTTGAAACACGAATGGGACAGAGGTACCCAAGCAATCAACTTTTGTACAAAGTCTTCCTCTGGTAAATAAAAAAGGATTGTAGAAATAAATAAATAAAAACATCCTATATACTTATCCATTTTATATTTTTTTAATGGGTGATGAAGGAATGGTAACCTCACCTGGGCTATTGGTATACGCTGGCGGGGTACCAGTGAAGGATGACAGCTGAGAATGAAGGCAGGTCGGTTGGCCCATAGTAATTTATTGAACAAGAATTAGTCACCATGGTTTCCAAGGGAAACGCGTGGAGGTCGACCTGACAGATAAAATACTCTGTAGCAATGAGGCTGTTCAAATCTCATCACTAACAACAAACAAGAAAGTCTACCAGAGGGAGACTTTGTACAAAAGCCGTTTGCTTGGGCACCTCTGTTCCATTCGTGTTTCAACCGTTAAGCAGTTGTGTTTGCATGGCTGTGTTTCGGTTTGACGGGTGGGATATGGCGTGAATTTACTGGGTACAGAGGAATAACACCTGAGTCCTCAGGAATGGCAACGTATGGGAGATATCACGGGCGAAACAGTATACTCTGTTATGTCCATGGTACTGCTCATGTCTATATGCGACGGTTACCACTTTCCATCAGGTGGGCCGTCAGTTTGTTTCCCATTCTAAGTAGTATAGAAAAAAAAAACATTCTCTTCCCCCCATTCTGTATATTAGGAATAGATATACTAGTGTAATCTAGTTACAAAAAATACATTTCAATTACCATAAATCCAATCAAAAACGGTCGCGCAGCAAAAAGGCAAAAATGCAATAAATCATTGAAACAATCCGGCCTGCACTCCAGCGAAAGGGTAGGGTGACCAACTAATCAAATTGTCATAATACTGTCCCATTATTTTATTGAGCGACCGGGAATTTAATTTCGTCGCTCCTAATGCCGTGTCTCTCGAGACGGGGGCGTGAGTGTGCCTTGTCGTTCTCATTGCGGGATTGTCCTACGTTTTTCGTGAGAGAGGGCCACTTTATGGTTGATTTGGGATTACACACAGGGGCGTTTGGTACTCCGACGAATCAATATGTTGCGATTTCGCGCGCTTTTCGATTTTCAATTTGATTTTGAATCTTGTCCGTAGAATTATGTGTGTGAGGGGGCAGATGGGTTTGTTAATAATGGGGATTATTGGTCCGATTGCTAACAATACGTCCTGTCAGGTCGACCTCCTCGCGGTTCCCCTTGGAAACTATCGTGTTCTATTTTAAGCGAATTTATTACAATGCTCTAACTGACCTGCCTTTTCATCCGTCACTGGTACCCCGCCAGCGTAGAGCGCTAGCACAGGCGGGGATACCATTCCATTATCATCCATTTAAAAAAAATTGCGTGTATAAATTATAATTTAGTTTTTGATTATTTAATTAAAAAAAAAATGTCATAAATAAATTTATTCTATAGAATTATTATTAGTGAATACAGACAAGAACCAAGTGACCGTTTTTCGGGCGTTTCGATTATTAATTTAACATTTATTTATTTTTGTTTATTTATCAGGTGGGCCGTGTGCTTAATTTCCACGTCAGTGGCGTAAAAAAATGTATTATAATTTGCTAACAATACGTCCTGTCAGGTCGACCTCCTCGCGGTTCCCCTTGGAAACTATCGTGTTCTATTTTAAGCGAATTTATTACAATGGTTTAACTGACCTGCCTTTTGTCTTTTAATTTATTTTGTAATTTATTACAATATATTTGTTTTTTCATATACAATCTAATAGTGAATATGTTTATTTTTTTTATATGCGTTAACGCGAAACAATCCATTATCGTGCGCCCCTCCTCCCTGGGGAGGGGGCCGGTGCCGGGATGATCGTGTCCCATCCCGCCGTTGTTATTACGACGCTACACAAGTTTGACACGAAAGAATTACTCCTTCGCTTATAAAAGGCAATAGGTATAATCTTTTTTTTTAAACTCTACAACCAATTTTGAAATTATTTCCACGTGTTAGTTGACATTATTTTATTTTTAACTAGCGACCCGCCCCGGATACGCACGGGTATCACATCGTAGTAGAAACCTCTAAAATTATCAGTGTTTCTCTACAATATTATGCATGTATTATACATATAAACCTTCCTCTTGAATCACTCTATCTATTAATAAAAATCCGCTTCAAAATCCGTTGCGTAGTTTTAAAGATTTAAGCATACATAGGGACGGACAGACAGCGACAGCGACTTTGTTTTATACTATGTAGTGATTACCTACCAGGTGAAAATTGAGGAAACATTTGATACGGAACCTTCTTTTTTAATTAAATAATTATCTTTTATCAATGTGTTACGAGGCAACTGAAAAACTGTGGTCTGGAAAGTAGATAGATAGATAGATAGATAGATAGATAGATACTCTTTATTGTTTCCTCCAAAAGATTACAATAGTAAACTTATTATAAATTTATTAAAAAAGTAATAACATACAGTACACATCCTTCATATGGATTACACAACACACATTCACACATACTCACGAACATTCCCACATTCATTTACTCAACTTCGCTTCTCTTAAGGGCATATATAATTAGTGTTTTATAATTGCTTGTGTATCTATATTGTTGATTTTATTACTTTTTCACTATTTCAATTTTATATTCCTTTTTATATTAATACCCGTCCACTATGTACTTTTTATTACAACACATTTGTGATTTGTTAATCTTCGCCGGGTGCCCACGATACAGGTCCTAGTGTGGGGCCCATTGTATCTTGTTTTTGTAACTTTGTGTTTTTTGCCAAATAAAAAAAAATAAATAAAAAAAAAATTAATCCTATATTAATTTTGCCATCGTCGTGTAAGTCACCGGCATAGAATAAGTTTTAGTCGAGTTTAATACATATATAAAATACATGCTTTATACAGTGTGATCGAATACCTAAATGCCAATATTAAATTATGACATGTTTTTTAATTTTTTTTTTACAACGCAGGGGGCAAACGAGCATGCGGCTCACCTGATTTTAAGTGACTACCGCTGCCCATGGTCACCCACAACACCAAAGGCATTGCAGGTGTGCTGCCGGCCTTTTAATGTTTTTTTAATTTTTTATTTATTTTTTTATACAACTTAGAATGGCAAACAAGCTGACGGCCCACCTGATGGAAAGTGATAACCGTCGCCTATAGACATGAGCAGTACCATGCACATAACAGAGTATACTGTTTCGCCCATGATATCCCCCATGCGTTGCTATTCCTGAGGACTCAGGTGTTATTTCTCTGTACCCAGTAAATTCACGCTATATCCCACCCTTTAAACCGAAACACAGCCATGCAAATACAGCTGCTTCACAGTTGAAACACGAATGGGACAGAGGTACCCACGCAATCGACTTTTGTACAAAGTCTCCCTCTGGTAACTGAAGTAAGCTGACGGCTCACCTGATGGAAAATGGTAACCGTCGCCTATAGACATGAGCAGTACCATGCACATAACAGAGTATACCTATGGGAGTTGGTAGATAATTATTCCATTCACCATCATATCAGCCATTAACTGTCCACTGCTGAACACAAGCCTTCCCAATAAGGAGAGTTTTGCCAGTAGTTGCCAAGCTTGGCAAGCGGGTTGGCAACCGCAGTGAAGTTTTGGAGATGTTTTAAATAGGTATTATAACTTAATTACGTACTTAAAAAGAACACCGCAGTACTTTAATAAAGAAATTAATTTTCCCGCACTGTACAACTATGTTAAAGTGAATGCTGTGAATACCTATAATAGGCATGTGCATTAATATTGTATTATATTTAATAAAGAAATTAATTTTCCCGCACTGTACAACTATGTTAAAGTGAATGCTGTGAATACCTATAATAGGCATGTGCATTAATATTGTATTATATTTAATGTTTCAAATTCAAATTCAAATTCAAATTCAAATTCAAATTCAAAAATCATTTATTCATGTAGGACATTTTAGCCGCTTATGAACGTCAAATTTTTACATTATAATTTTATATTTTCCCTACCGTCCAGTTCGGTATATAGATCCAATTGAGAAGAACTGGCAAGAAACTCAATTGAATTACTTTTTTTTTTAAAGCCAGTTTATTTACAATGTATATTTATATAGGTGTCTATGTCTAACATTAAATGAAAATTCAGTGCATGAACAACTATTGCCATGCACACTCG